TCATGCTACTCACTTTATTAAGTACAAACTACTGGTGGCACACTCTCCATTTAATACATTCTTGCCAATCAATGCAAGTTGAATAAAATAGGTAATTTTCTGTAGATTTAACGGTGATTATAAACTATAATCCAGTGCATTTCTTCCACCTGATCTACCTTATCCTTGCAGAAGCACACAAAGGATTTCAGACCTTTTCTAAATGCAAGCCATACAAAATTGAAGGTCAGAGATTAATGCTTCTCAAAATTATTCATAAAAAAAGAAAATCTTATATAATAGGGAGGCTTATAGGTCATGGCTGCCAGCCGTTCTGCATTGATTGTCTTTATCATTTCACAGAATCTACTCATTCCATTGGCACAGAAAGAATAGATTTATGGGTTGAAGGAACATTGTCCTCGATGTTTAATATGTCCATATCCACCTAGATTGACAGTTTCTACAGAAGAGAATTCCCTGAGAGGCCTAGTGTTACTGGTGTCGGTGGATGGCATCACTTACTTCATGCTTCTGTTATTAAATTGATAACAAGATAATTCCTATGCTTTTCAGAGACATGACAGGATTTACAACTGTTAACTCTCTCATTGAATGCATTTGATATTCCGGGGGATGAGCTGTAATATGCCCCCTTTATTTACTGCTACATTAAAAAAAAGATATTTGTCAATAAATGATAAAACTAAATGAGATTTCATTGCTAAAACGGTTCAGAATAATGTAGAAACACACACAACAAACTATTTTGGATCTTCCAATAGGTGCAGCTTGGCTCAGGTGGGAGCCTCCTCACCTTTGGCTCAGAACTTTCAAAAGGGATTTAGATAGGTACTTGAAAAGGAAAATTTTGCAAGCTTACGGGGAAAAAAACGGGATAGTGGGACTGATTGTGTTGCTCTTCCAAAGAGCTGGCACGGGCACGATGGGCTCAATGGTCTCCTTCTGTGCTATAATATTCTATAATTCTATAACTGAGCTTAAGAGTGTATGTAAAGACTCCAGTGCAGTAATGGAGGAGCACTGCATTGTCAGTGGTGCTGTTTTTCAGATGAGATGTTAAACTGAGGTCCTGCTTGTTTCTAGATGGACAGTAAAGATTCTATGACACGATTTGAAAGCAGAAGGGTATTTTTCGTGGTCTCCTGCCCAATTATATCCTCCACATATCTTTCACTTCGTAGCTATTTGTGGGACCGTTTTGCACACAAAAAAATCTGGTTGTGATGTCGCCTACAAACAATAGTCCCTACACTTGATTATAAAGCACTTTAAGGTGGATGAATATGAAAGGTATAAAAATGCAAGTCTTTTCATTCTTTCAATCTTCAGATAGATACTAAAGTGGCACAGCATAGACTTCAATATCTATTCATATTCAAGGTGGCAAATGCACATCTATGTGGAACGAGGAGAATTATTTAATTCCCCAAATTTTCGCAGACATAGGTTTTGCTACCCAGCAAAGTTTCTATGTTACTGCTGAATTGTGTTCTATACTCTGAAGACCCACAGTACATTTTTTTTAACAATATGAATATAAGGACTGGTATAAGGACTACTCAATCATATAAGTTGATAATATGAAGCATGAAATCTGAGATTTTTTGAACAAGGAGAGTAAATGATGGTTCAGTGGAAATTGGGATCATGCACCTGATTCATCCCTTATTCCTTTAAATTAAAAAAAACTTGTGTTATTGTCTATCCATTGAATATAGGTGGACCTCTGTCATTCAAAATGCATTGCCTGAATCTCTCGCAGAAGGGGGACTTAGATTAATGGATTGCCTAAAAACCTTACCTATCTGCACCATTTTACCAGCAACTTCCCTGCAAATCAGACTTTGCATCGCGTAAAGTCTTTTTGGTGTATTTTCCCAGCATTAACAACGGCATCTTGCATTTATATAGTGCCCTTCACAAAGGATAACATCTTGGAGTGCTTAACAGTCCTTCCAAGCACTTAACAGAACTTTTAGGGTAGTAATTCGAGCTATCAGATTATCTGACTTCTATTGTGCATTCAAAACCTTTTGGGAAGTGTATTGTTCCCCCCACCCCCACCCCGCTTCTTCCTAACGTCTTTGTTTTTTTTCTGATGCCACTTATCCTCCTCAATCCAATCTAGTGATGAGTTCTGTCTGATGAAGGGTCACTAACTTCAATTGCAGATGGTGATTGATCTGCTGGTCAATTCCCATGTTTACAGTTTATATCTATTATGGAAAGAATACTTGATTTAATACAGCTCAGGCAGCTTTGACTGGTATAAGACTAGCATTGTCCTTTTGAGTGGCAGACATGTAACTTTTATAGCAGTGACTCCAGTGACTCCAACTATCAGATTATCTGACTTGTATTGTGCTGAGTTTCACTGTGCATCATATCTCTGTGTTGGTGTCATTACCTTAAGTCCCCAGAAGCACTTGTGGCAAATTTTTCATCTGTTACTTCCATCTCAGGAAAAATGCTGTCAACACTTTCATATTTATTGACACGTTCATAAGCTGGCTAACGTTAGTCTAGAGACATCACACCAAAGCATTCTTTATCCACACACCTGAGCTGAGCAACCTGAGTCTCAGTGTTGTCTCACAAAGTATTTGTTCACTGATCAAAATTCAAATCTCGGACTTATCCCATTTTACTTCCACCAGCTGGTGAATGTGGTACCTCCAATATTGTCTGAGGCAACCCTATGTTACAGCATCACTGATTGCAGTCGGAGTATCTCCCATGTAGCTAGTGCTTCAGTAGTGCTTGATAATAATAATATGATTGATTCCACTGTCGATTGACTGAAAAATTCTGTTTCTTTTAATACAAAATCCCTGTTCTGTAATTTGTCCATTAAGTAGGAGAATATTGTATTTATTGAGTCACAAGTGTCTGTCAAACTGTTATATCTGCTAGGAAGATTATGTGAGGAAGCCTTTAGTACAAAGTTTTAAAACGTCTATTAGTCATTATAAAAATAAATCAAAACTGGTCAGTGTTCTTTGGTGTAGTGGAAGAATGTTTAGCATTTACTTGATAGGTTTACCCAGATAGTAATAATGACTTTCGGAAAAACAGAAAAATAGCTATTTCGAGAGTGAGTTATAACATAATATGGAAGATAAGAAAAATACATACAGCCACAGTACAGAGTAGGTGAACTGAACATTGATTTAAATGAAATAGGGATAGTAAAGCGGGCTATAAAACTGGAACAGAATTATGCATGTGATTATTTGGGTTTCACTGTTAATGTTAAAATACTAGTATTTATATCTATCAGCATATTTCTTGCTTGCCCTGCTTTAAGCAATGTAAAATAGATCAGTACAGGCTTCAAGAACCAAATTTAATAGCAGCTGGTCAATCGTTTAATAATTAAAAATGATAAATTAATTTCTGCACATCTGCAGATTCTTTAAAAACATAATAACAATCCTTGCATTTGATATAGCGCCTGATCATGTCTTCGAGATGTCTCAAAGCGCTTCTCATGATGTACTATAAAGTGAATACTCCTTGTATTTAATGTAATTCACATCAGAATGATATCTGAAAGTGCATCACAGTAAAGTGTCTATGTATGTTGTAGGCTCAATGGAGGGCAGAAGACATAAGGATAAGTATCTTTTGGATGGTTTTGTTATGCTGTATCAATATGAACATCACAATGTTGTGGTGTAAAATTTATCCTATTCCCACATAATTCACGAACCTCCCAATTCTTTCTCGAGAATGCTGTGTGGCCAAAATCTTGATCAATTGAGCTAAAGGGATGCCTTGGGTCAAATAAACCCTTTTGCGACAATGAAACCAATTGATAATCTTAAATGCTCATGTTGAAGCTTCAGCTGATGACTCGAATTGAAGAAGAAACACTTTTTTTCTTTTATTAAACAAAATCTAATTTGGTGTTCTGCTGTTGTTGAAAAATGTCCTTAGCCACGTGTAATTGCAATGATAAGTATAAATGTATCCAGATTGCAATTGTAGCATTTGTATGTTTGGATTTGACGGAACAATGAAATTCTGATTTAGAAATTAATTTACATTTTAGTTAGTTTTAGTCTCATCTGTAGTAGGTAAGGCAGAGTTTAAGCACTGCAGTGCTTGAAATCTCATTCACTGCTGATGGAGAGGTAAGGAGTTGGATCAGGAAGTTTTGTGCAGGTGTGGGAAGACTGATGACCAAAATGTCCATTTAAGCGAAAAAAAACCACTCGAATAACCCTGTCAAAATGTTCTCACACACATAGATGGCAGCAAAAAGCCATTGTGTCTTTTGTTCCTCATATTTGTATAAGAGTTGTTGATTCTTTTGCAAAAAAAGTTCCAGTTTACGTCAAAAGGAAAACAAATTTCAAAGAGCTATTGTGAACCAGATATATTCAGGTATTTTGGAGGCAGCACTTGCCTTTGTATCCAATTTATTTATAGGTTTTCTTAGGTAATATGTCGCACTCTGTATGGAAACCGTGAAAAATGTAGTTACGTAAGCTTTATTATCAATGATATTTGACGTGTTAGCTAAATTAGTGGTAGATAAAATCCACTAAAATGTTCTGACAAGGCTTTTTTCTATTGATCTTTTAGGACTACCTACTTCTAGTAAATATTATTTTCTACATAAAAAAGTATTTAATTATGTAAACAACCCTACAAATGAACACATTTCACATCTCAGAAATGAGATGTGCTTGTATAATGTTCACGCACGTGCTTTAGGCTAAGATTGATCCATTTGTTTTACCAACATAATAATGAGGAGTTCCTTCCACCATTAATATCTGAAATTTAATACCAGAGTGGTGTTCCTGAGCATAAAAAAATGCAATTAACACCAATCACGTTGTGTCCGTATCTTTTACATCTATTCAGAAGCACTCAAAGACTCAAATTTATAAAACAATAGAAATAAATGTGCTATAGTAAAATTATTTGCATTAATTAAAAATACATTTCTCTGATAGACATTCATAGTTTGTTTCTGTTTTGCATAGATCATTATTGCCAGCCTCATGTGTACTTACAACAAGGATGATTGGATAGAACTTGCAAAGATGGCAGAGGTGAGTGTTTTTCTTTGCTGTTCCACACTTCACTGCATACATAATTGCGATGCCATTTTTAATGAGCATTTCATTGTGTTTATTTACCAATGGCTGAGGACTAGAGAATATTACCATGAATTGTTCATCCGTGTTAAATTTGATAGTTTAAGATTTTGCTACTGTCATTAACTGGCAGTTATTTTGCAATAATTAAAGTCATGTGAAAAGAGTCATTCCCACAAGATTTTCCATTTTCTTTTCTATTTACTACCTGGTGCTGTAACTCAGAATTCAGTAAAAGAGGGAGGCCTGCGCTGAAAGAGAATTTTATCCATTGAAAAGATGCCAATTGGAAAGCCAGTCACCCAAAGGATATTTGACCATTCCAGACAGTTCGCTCTGGGTTTAAAAAAATATTTACTCAGGGCTGTATTTTCTAGTGTTCACATATAAAGATTTCTGGTCCTTGCCTTTTGTATGTTTAATCCATTCAGTGTTCTGTGTCTGTCTATAAATGTGTGTAGTTGACCAGAGTTCTGGATTACCGGCAAGTGTTATATTAATAGAAACTGATGCTAGCCTTAGGGCCTTGATGATATTTTTACGGGAGCTCGACAAAAATCCTCTTAGAAATAATTTTGAGACATGCTAACCGTGCTATTATAGAAACAAATTATTTTACTATCCAATAAGCAGCGCAGCAATACTCCAACTTGCCCTTGGGATGCAAGGCATGTCCAAGATCCTGTGCCCAATTACATTTCAGGGCTGATATGCAATGACAACATTGTCTCTCATGTCTGATCTGCTACCCAAGACTGAACCAGATGCACACACTCCATGGATATGCCGACAGTTTTATAGCATGACTTCTGCTAAGCTGAGCATTCCAAAATGTAAACATTATGCTGCCAACATTTTCTAAAGAAGGCAAAATCTGCATCATTGGTGACATAGTCTGAATTATTTTGGCACATCGTACTTCTGGAAGCATTAATGCCAAATATTCAGCAATTGTTTTTCTATGTTAGCTTGCTACGTGTCTTGTTCCTCGTGAATGAATCCGTAGGCTAGTAAGTAATCTATCTGAAATGTTGTAGAAGCTAGCTTCTCCTGAAGGTCTTGTATAACACATTGCATATTTTCATAATGATCGCTTAAATTGCCAGTCATTTTTCTCTGAACCTTTCAGACTGTAGTGGAAAATCTCTGAGTTAAAGGGCTTACTGGAGGGAAATGAAATTAAACATTATTGATAATTGGCTTTTTGATCTTGAGCTCTGGGTCCATTTTAAATCTGTTTTGGCCTAATTGACCATGAAATCTCTTGCTGAATTCTGGCTGGAAATAAGCCTTACCACCTAAATACTGACTATGATAAATGGCTTTATCATACAGCTTGTTCCTCTGCTTTCTATGAGGATCCCGGTGCTTATTATTCTCCTCTTCTCTAATGGCTGCACGTAAACTCACACAGGCAGGTTGGCGGAGGTATAATAATTGTTTAAATACCTGTTCAGACATGTTTTAAAATTATTTTAAGTCAGACAATTCTGACAGCTCGGATGCATGGCTTTTAATTCATTCATTTCCCTGTGAGATAACGGATACATTTTAGATTGCCCCCAATGGTTTTACAGTGTTGACCATACACCTGACAGGAACAGAGAACTGTGGAGCAGAGAGAATATTGACTGTAGCCCTCATTATCTAGAGACCCGCTGCTAGAAGGTGTACACGTGCAGATATGAGGCCAAGATGGTCCCTTTGGTTGGAAAGCTTGTCAACAATAACTGCCAAGCCTTTACTTGTGAATGTAGTCGCGTCAATAATGATCAATTAATTTGAGGTTCCCGCAGGCAACCGATGCCCCTGGAATCTTGTCCTAGCAAATGGAGAAAGAGGTAAAACAAATTTCAAGGAAGGAGGCGGTGAGGAGAGGAGAAAAAAAAACAATGAGAAGACAGTGTAGTGGATGAGTCGATAGGCTGGAGCCACTAGTCTGAATCTCAAGATTTTTTGCCAATGATTTGCTGGCATACAATTCAGAGTGATATTGAGGGCAGTCCTAGTTAGACCTCCCTCTCACTCGGATGGCTTCGTCCATGTGGGAATAGTAAAGAGAGAAAACAGATGGAGGGTTATAAAGGAGGCTAAGATGCCATCAATACAAGTTATCAGGTAGAGACAGTCTACTGAATTTTAATTTTAACAGCAAGGATTTAACTGAACATTATTATTAACTCTAGCTGAACGCAATTCAGAAAACTACTCAGTCATACTTATATCATGTAATGTTGCTATTCACGTATGTAATACAAAGTAAGGTAATCGAGTGTAAATGAAGAAATCAGCTACAAAGAGAAAAACAAGAGTTTGCTTTCAGTTACATGTGACCTTGAATGTATACATTATGTTCTTAAAGACAATATGATGCACGTTTAGAGCAATGATAAGTTGTGATCAAGAGAGGAGCAACTCTGAGCTACCAAAAGCTTATTAAAATCAGTATGCAATATGCCCTACCATTTACCTTTCAAGATCCATTTTCTTTTGATTCATGTCTTTGTAACCAAATCTATTATTCCAGTGACATCCCGAAAAACACTTGGTCCTTTGATACTGAAACCTCCTATGTCCAATGACATAATGATACAATTATTGGTAATTGTGCAGCACAGGTTATTGTCAACCTTTCTATCCATTAGGGCTTTGGTTTGGCTGAATAAGAACAGGTCAACACCTCCACATCTTAATGATAACTCAAACATGCTGATGATATTGGAAATGCCTTAGCTAGCTAAGTGCCTTGTTTAGCCATGTCTCCTCAGAGATCACTTAGCCCCCTCTTACCATTCCCTCTCCAATCCAAATCCAGTATTAATTTTATTCATTTCAAAAAGGTAGTGAGCTGAGTGCACTCCCAGGATTCAAAGCTAGAACTGCCTGCTCTCAGTGCAGTGTTGAGTGGTTACGCTTCCCAGGAAGCTGTGTACATTGTGTTCGCTGAACAACAAGCACCTTCTAATACATTACTAGTAAATGCGACGGCTTATTTAGACTTCTCATCAGAATCTTGGTACATTAAATGAGTGTAAATGAAGAAATTAGCCACATAGAGAAAAAAAGGGTTTCCCTGTTGCACATATTTTAGTCAAAGAGCTGTAATAATTTGTGTTGTATGTTGAGGATGTTAGCGTGCTTCATTGGCATGTTTTTTTATTTTCCTATGTGTTTAAATTCTTTATTCCTCTCAGGCTTCTGGTGCAGATGCTCTCGAATTAAACTTGTCTTGTCCACACGGCATGGGAGAAAGAGGAATGGGACTGGCCTGTGGACAGGTAATAACTCGACCTTTCCCCTTCCTGGTTTAATCTAAAGTGTAGTTCTTTTATAACAATTATTAAATAGCAATTCCATGTAAGCCCCTGTGTGACTTTTACAATCCATTACCCGGTTAATTGAAGTTCCTTTCAAAATACGTAGTCTTTTAAATATAACCCAAATCAGTCTGTTCCTTGAATAAAAATTTGCAGACATTTTACACACAAATGACAAGTAACTAAACACTACCACCTTTCACCACACTTAAAATAATACAGCCTGAAGATTGTTTAGTGAAGGTGCAGTCCTAATCTAATCGTTTCTGTTTCCAAATTGACTTTTGTCCACCAGCAGCACTGTGGTACATCAGAAGTGGGGGGCGTTTTGTGTCTCAAAAATGAGGATTTTAGTACCACAGCAATAAAATTGCAGTCATTGTGTCTTGCTTCATTAAATCTTTGAGCCTGATTTCCATACATGTAGAGGATCAGTGCACAGAGCCTTCCTTGTGGTGTCTGTGGGTCGCAGTAAAAAGCACCAGTTCTACTTTCCATCATTGCATTTGCAAAACTCCATCACAATAAAAGCAGTTATGTATTCTCTTCTCTACTTTAGAATTATTCCAATCGACATTGTTAGTAGGAATAAATGTTTTAATTGTCAGATCTCATGCTCGCTTTGTTTCATCAGTTTTCATTGTGTCTACCTTTCACCTATATATCCCTTCATATCCTAGCGCCTTGTTATCACTGTGATCTTCCACCTCTCTCTTCTGCTCACTTCCTTTGTTCCGCGAACTTGGGTCTGCTATGCCATTGATGGTGGCCTAGACGGGGTAGAGGGTCTCCAGACCTCTCCCCTCCTCTACCCCACCATCAATGACCAAGCCTTCGGTCACAGCACCACTGATCTCTCAAACTCCCTCCCTTTATCCCTTTGGCTTACCCCTTCTGTGTCTGCCTTTAAATCCCATCTTAAAAACCTACTTGTTAGATCGTGCCTATGTTCACCTCCACCCTCCTTCTCCTTCTTTGCTTGCTGTCCAATCTCACCTTTGTGAAGTGCTCCAAGATATTATCTGACATGAAGGGCACTATATAAATGCAAGTTGTTGTTGTCAGATAAGGAAAGCTTTCCTTTGTGTTTGTGAAACATCTCACGGTAGATATAAATGCGTTGACACTCATGATGCCACTTGTTAAACAACTGTCATCTGAAATGGAAAGACTAGATCACTTAATCTTTTTGAAATCTATTGCACTTTTTTTTAGTTTTGGATGATCTTTGGAGAAATTGTCTTTGGTTTATGTTAAATTGTACAGATGAATTATCAGTAAATCAATGTTTAGAAGAGGCATTCGGTCTCAGCTGTTGGCTCTGTTGTAATTTTGCACGCCCTATCGTCTGAGTGGATCATTTGTAACCATTATGTGTGAAGTGTTTATAGCAAATAGATCTATATAACCTACATTTGTAATAGATATCTAAACATACAGTATTTTCGCTTACAATCGTAATTGGACAATTTGCTAAAAGCAAAGGAATTCTACTGGACAGAAATTTGCTTTTTAATGTGACAGGTGTGATTTTTAAAAAAAATGCATTTATCTAAAATGGCTAAACACATAAAAACTAATATTAAATTGACAGGATTAATGTGTTCCTCATAAGTTAGACAAATTTGCAGTTAGAAATTTGAAATGCTCTTTCATATGCTTTGAAGAATTAGTTGTCGAAAGCTTTCAAGAAAGAGTCTGTTTTTATTTTAACAAATGTGTTGTTTCAAATATTATATTTAATGTTATGTATAATGTAACCAATAAGCACATAGCAATGCCTCACAAACAGCCATGAAGAGAATGACCAATATTTTGTATTTGGAGGATTGACATTGGGAGAAACTTCCTTCTACGTGATATGCTTTTGTGACGATTGTTTTAAGAATTGGTAGCATTGCTCCCTTTATTTTGTAGGGAGCATAATCATTCCTCCTATATGTGTTTACCATTTCCTTATTGATTGTACTCAGTGCTAGTATGCAAAAGCAAGTTTAATTCAAGTCCTGTTGGATATGTAGTGCTGAATGTCAGGATGTGATGACTTTTCCTTAGGCCACTCTACTCACTCAGGTTTGTGGAGAACCAGGTCTCAGCCAATGCTTGTTCGAGGGTCACTCTCTGGAGTGCTGTAATACACAGATCTATGAACTGTTGGGACACAGATCTTCAACTGTAATCCTCCTCACAGTTAACTCACAAATTTTATCATTGCTACTTCGCCAAGTGCCAGTGAGGCAATTCAGCACGAGGAGAGGGGAAGAAAACTCTACCACTACAAAGTGGAACACCCTGTTAGGGGATGGGGAAAGTGGAAGATATAATTCAAACCTCTACCTGCTCAGGGAATTACATAAAAATACATTCAAAGTAAAATGCTTTATATAATCGAAATACAAACTACTCTGGCACCCCGGATCTCTCCAACATTGATCTGGGCTTTTAATGTACTTCAAATGAGTCTCCATCCATCCTAAGTGCCCCCTCCCTAGTTTCCCCCTTCACTCCCTTCCCCCTTCAAGTTAACTGGTGTGCGTCAACCAGCATCGGCAACATTCATTTATATTTATGTAGCATTACTCACTTGTGGAGGAAGCCTCAAAGCGCTTTACACAGCTGACTAAAAGGCCAAGTTGGGGGGAAAGGAGTAAAAAGTACATTGCTCTAAGTTATCAACAAAGCTTAACACAGTTACTTCTACGAATTCCATTATAAATGCTACTGGTTCGCTCAGCTCATTCTGTATACAAGAAAAAATTAATTGCATTAGACGATATTATTACAGTTCTGCTGCTAGATGCTGTGATCTAAGGATCAAATAATGAGATGGATACACATTGCTTTGCCAGTCACACGCAGTGCAGGCAGATTGGCAGCATTAAGCAGTGCCAGTCTCTGTGCACAGCTTTATCAGATTAGTTTCTCATCTAAGTTCTGTAACTGACCCATTTGAACAGAATCCAGAGCTGGTGAGGAACATCTGCCGTTGGGTGAGACAAGCTGTTAAGATTCCTTTCTTTGCCAAGCTGACCCCAAACGTCACAGACATTGTAAATATCGCTGTGGCAGCCCAGGAAGGTAAGAAGCCTGGAAGGGGGTGGGTGGGGGACGACGAAATTTGCAAGAGATAAAATGCTACTTTGAAAATAATGCCTCTGTAAATATTTATCTGTTGCAGTCTATCATTATCTGTACGCTCTTTAAAAATATATATTTTTTAAGAAAATCCATACGTTTTCATTGACTGTGGTGCTGTACGATCTTTCGTATCCAATATGAATCTTTGCGTTATTATCCATAACATACTTCTGTGGGGCCGTGTTCTTTATTATATGACTGCCTATGTTAAAGATACCATGCCACAAAACGTACAGTCAGTTCACTTTGCAGTATGTTCTGTGAAGCGCTTTGAGACGTCTCGAAGTCCTGATAAGGCGCTGTATCAAATGCAAAGGTTGGTATTGAAGTGTATGGATTGGAATATACAGGTACTTAAGCGCTGTCTTTTCTCCCAGGTGGTGCAGATGGTGTTACAGCAGTCAACACTGTTTCTGGGCTGATCGGGCTTCGAGCAGACGGCACACCCTGGCCTGCTGTTGGTGGAGGCAAGCTAACCACATATGGTGGAGTATCTGGTAGGTGTTGCCCTTATCATTGTAAGCTGTTTCCTCTGAGGTTGTGGAAACATTGGGAGGTCCTTGTCGTAAGCTATAATGTAATGTCTCTAAGCAGGGCTCAAACCTCCTTGTTCAGTGCTGGTCAACGCAGCTTATAGTCGTGACAGATGGAGCAGAATACATGTGAAAGCTCTGGTGGTATCTTTTCTTCTTCCTGCACAATTCTGCGGTAAAGTGGACATGGATGAGTCACTGGAGAGTTGGAAGCAGAAATATCTTGAAAGGACTGTTATGGAAATTTGCATTGATGCACTGACTTGTCAGGTTTAGCAGCACTTACATTGGACTACAAAGCACATATAGACTTTGTCTAATGTTTACTTCTATTTCTGGTAAAAATAATAGCAGGTTACACATAACCAAATTAATTTTCAGTAGCTTACTCTGTATGGCTGCCTTTTTAATAAAGTAATGTATATATTAATGCCTATTCATATACAGACAAACTATGGAGTCAGTTATACTGCATTTAATTTAGAAGTTGGTAAGAAAGCTAAATGCAGAAGCAGCAAACCATTTTTAAATTGTTTTGCCTGAATGTCTTGATGCATAAATAAGGGTGAAGGGACTAGAGGGAATGAGAGAGGAGATGATGAGAATCTAGAGGGCATGAATATGATAGCTAACAGCGGATCCAACAGGGAGCTTAGAAGGAACATCTTCATGCAAGAGGGTGGTGAGAATATGGAACTCACCGTTGGTGAGTTGAAGCAAATAGAATCAATGTATTTGATGGGGAAGTGAATAGAGATGCATACACAATGGGGAAGACGCTACGTAAAGACTAGTTATAGTAATCCTTGCATTTGATATATCACATCGTCGAGACTTTTCAAAGCACTTTACAGGATATACCGTAAGTTGGTGTGACTGTATTCTGTTGGCGAATGTAAGATTGACAAGTTGGGCAGAATGTCCTGTTTCAGTGCTGTAACATTGTATGAAACTGTAATTATTAGGAGAGGAGAGGAGGAGTCAGTATTGAAATCATTTGCTTAGCAGTACTTGTTTGCCATCACATACCCTTCCATATTAGAAGACATGCAACAAATAAAGCCAGCTGAGAAGCAAAACAGAAACACATTCATTATTTACTGGAATTTGAGGAGTTGAGTTTTTCTGGTGAATTATAGAACAATTTGCAGCTATGAAAAGAAAGGTTTTGTTACTTTACTAAGCCTTGTTTATCCACAGCTGACTGCTGTTAATGGAGGTGGGTTATGAGATCAAAGCCTAAATAATGGTTCTTTGACAACCAGTGTGTTGGTACCTGCCCTACACAAGTCTAAAGTGTTCACGTTTGTTTCATGCCAACAGCAGTCTGTGGAAAATGCCAAGCACTGCTTTTTGAAGTGCTACACTGCCATAGCTTGACATTTCCACCGGACGGAAGCTCATAATTTTTCACCAGGGAGCTACTGCTACATTCAAGGCAGCTCGGTCTCAAATGGGATAGCGGTTTAAATTTTTGAACCAGAATGCCAGCCTCTCCATCCCTCCTTCCAGAATAAACATTGCTCCTAGTCAGCGTATAAAGAAAGTCAAATGCAGCTACTTTAATTCACCGTAGCTGCATGCTTGTTGCTGCTTAATGTAGCAGCACATTTCAGTTAGTTCTTGTAACAGCTGGCCACATCATAGACTTACAAAGGGCCAAGATACTGAACATCAAATTAATTGAAAAAGCGACTTATCAAAAAGAACCAAGTTCTTAGCACTGTCAAGATTTCAGTTTTATTTTAAATATTTTCCAAAGGCCAGACCTTTAAATCTCTGGGGCTGTATCAAGCACTGAGCTGTGAATTTAACCATAAGGTAATTGCTAATGATAAGGAAATATTCCAAGATGAGGCTCGTGTAATACAGTCATTGGATTAGGCTATCAATCACCAGCATCCCCAGGGAAAAGGAAAGGAGACAAAACAGTGAGAGGAAAATTAGGAAAGGTGGGCATGACCAGAATGTAATTCTTTACCATCTTCATCAGTTAAACATACCACATTCTGCACCTTTTAAAATTCAAGCAATCTCGGCTTGTCACAGATGCGTTTCCTCTTTATATCAACTGTTTACAGAAGAGGAAAGTAAATAGTTGCTGTTAATAGGATGGAAGTGAAAAAAATATTGTGTTTGACCTATTTTGGGAGTTTTAGCTGGTATTTAAGCAAGTTTGTATGAAGATTCATGACATGCACACTGGGAGGTAAATATTGACAATCATGCTCTGGCAAGCAAAATTGAACTTGCTGAATTAACGCAGTTCAAGTCCCTGCATTCATGCTGCAAGCCAAGCATGAAACCATTATCTCTTGACATTAAATTGTGTGATCTTTTCCTTCTGTTTGGTACACTCTCAAATACTCTCGATCTGCATTAGGTATTTATCAAGCACCTTAGGCATTGAGCTTGGCTGGATTAATTTTAGAGACAAAATGATTTCAAGTCTTTATCACTCTTATTCCCCGTTGAAAAACAATGCCATTGACCTATTGCATAGCATGTCCAGTTGTTCTGTTGCAGAAGTGGAAACAGATGAGTCTTTTAGTAAGGTTTGCCTTGGGGTATTATTATCACATCTTTCATGAAGTCTTCAGCTGTAGCTGTGAACATCAACAGTTCAGTAGAGTGGTCAGGAGAGAGGTGAGGGGAATTAGAAGGGTGTGTCCAAGGAATATTCGGGTATTTGAAATGCTCATTAATCAAGTATTTAAGAACATGTTTTACATTTGCTTGTGATATCTTTTTGAATAAAATGTGGTCTAGTACTGAAGAAAGTAATCATATATCCAATGCTGAAATGTCATATGAGAGATTGAATCCCATCATTATCTGCCTTTTATATTACCTGTTATGGGGAAAAAAGGAATGTTTGGAGGTGGATCAAATGCTATTGATTCTGATAATCTCAACATCAGATACAGCTAACTCGCATCTTTCTGTTTTATTCAAACAATAATATTTTGAAGTTAAATCTTCTCAGCGAGAATAAATTCCATTTAATCTGCCACAAATCTCTAAAGCACAACCTTGAACTACGTTCTTGTATTAAGTCAAATGGTCGAGCGAGCAATGAAACAATACAGTGTGGAGATTTCAAACAGGATTGATTAAGGAATCCACTCCAACTTGGAAATGCTCCACTCCAACACCATCTATTTTAGCAGTGAAATTCCCACAAGGGCAGCATGCTGTACTTCCATTCAGTCTGAGCAGTCCCACTTGGGATCCTTATTAAGGAATCATGTTAGAAATCATCGCATTCAGTCTCCAATTTTTTTTAAAAAAAAGAAAGGCTGATTTATTGATTATCATGTTCTGTTCTCATCAATTTCCAATACTTCTGATGTGGAACTGCTACATAGAGATCTACACAGTCCACTGATCAAAGAGCAGAGCGTTCCCACAGAGATCAGCACTGGGGACACCAATGTAGCTCATAGTACAATGTAAAAAGCTCACTTGAATAATGGAGGAAGGGTCTTGTCTCAACTGTGTTCCCCTCCCTCTCCGTGTGGCCCACCAGAGATTGGTAAATGTGCCCTCCAGGGAAGCCTGGGGAATGATTGTCAATTGAGACTGGGATCTGGAGTCTGCTTTTCAAGCTCAAGGCTTGAATCTTACAGCAAGAACCTCCGCCAGAATATTTCACTTTGTTATTCCATTTACAGCTGTCGAAACAGACGTACTCTTTTTCCACCAGAATATCAGGTTTCAATTGTAGTGAAACGACTGAATTTTATTGGTTTTAACAGTTTTCTGTTTAAAGTAAATGCAACATTGACTTATTTTAAGGTATTTTAAAGTATTCTTTGTAAAAAGAAATTAAATCATAGAATATAATTGTATAATTACATTGGTTTGGCCTTAGCTCAGTGGAGTCCTGTAGCTCAGTGGTTAGAGCACTCGCTTTGCAAGTGAGAGACCTGAGTTCAATTCCAGGCAGAGGGCGAAACCTCGGGCAAGTTTCCTTACTCCACACAGAGCCTAATAATAATCCCTCCAAAAAACCAAAAACAATAATTAAATTGGTCATTTTCAATCTACGACTGTTTGTGGGACATTGCTGTGCTTTACAGTGTGTTCTGTGAAGCGCTTTGGGACGTCCTCCCGACATGAAAAGCGCTATATCAAATGCAAGGATTATTATTATTATTATTATTATTATTATTATGTAATGCTATCTAAAGGTACAGAGTAAAATAACCTATTGTGTGGTATATGATTGTATATTATTATCTTTGGCGGTAAATACTGTATGTGCTGGGCAGCTGTTTCATCCCCACTCAGATATAGCATTGCCTTATGTAATTGTTTAAAGGTAGCGAGTCTGGAATTCTGAAGGGCAAAGACATTTACACACAACAACAACAACAACCACAACAACAAAATGACATTTATAGAGCGCCTTTCGAGTCGTGAGGACGTCCCAAAGCGCTAAAGAGTCAGATGTCCAGGCCTGAGCATGGGGGAGGGGTGGTGTAGGGGTGAGGGAAGGCAGAGAGGTGGGAGGGAGACCAAAGGCACGGTCGAAGAGAAAGGTCTTGAGACCGGCCTTGAAGGAGGCGAGGGAGGAAGCGAGGCAAAGGGACCGTGGGATGGAGTTCCAGAGGTGGGGGGAGAGAGGCTGGACACCCGGCCACCGCTGGTAGGGCGGGTCGGGTGGGAGATATGGAGCAGGCCAGAGCCCGATGAATGGAGGGAGCGGGCAGGTTGGTTGGGAGTCAGCAGGTCAGAGAGGTAGGAGGGGGCGAGGCCATGGATGGCCTTAAAGGTGAGGACGAGAATCTTGAACTCGATCCTCTGGGGGGATGGGGAGCCAGTGGAGTTGGGCGAGGGTGGGAGCGATGGGGTCACGGAGCCTAGTGGTGAGAGTACACGAGCTGCAGAGTTTTGGATGATCTGCAGCTTGTGAAGGAAGAGTTGGGAAGGCCGATGAGGAGGGTGTTCCCGTAATCAAGCTTTGAGGTGGCGAATGCGTGGGTGGGGGTTTCGGCAGCCTGAGGGGTGAGGCAGTGGCGAAGTCTGGCAATGTTACGGGGGTGATGGTAGGCAGTGCCGGTCATGGCGCGGATGTGGGGGAGGAAGGACAGTTCAGGTTCAAACAAGATACCCAGGTTCCTGATCACTACGTGTTCACTATCAATTTGCCCACAAAATATGCAGTCAATTCACTTTTCAATATATTCTGTGAAGCGCTTTGAGGCGTCTCGAAGATAAGGCGCTGTTATCAAATGCAAGGATTATTACTATTACCTGAATGACTTCCGTGTAGTCTACTCAAATCAGTAGTTTTGAGATGGACGGATATGAGTATTACAAATAAACTGTTAATTACCTACTTTGGGACATTATAAAAATTGTTCCCGATCAGTGCAGCTCTTTGAAGCCACCTATGGGCAGCAGATAGAATCGCAGTAATGTTTAGTTCAGGCTTCCCCTTGGGTATGACTTTTAATCCCCTGGCAAAGCTGAAAGCAGGACGATTTATGTTATCACACCGTTCATCCATCGTTCTGTCAATTTCTGAACACTCTCATGTCACTTCAGTAATTTAAAAACATTTTACACAGCCCAGTCCCAGCTGCTCTGGCAGTGGAATACTGAACTCCAGTAGTGGGAACCCAGATTAAATTCCTAGCTTCGACTGGCATTCAAATTCACCTTTCCCCAGTGGGTAGATATTGCAAGTTCTTGACTGGGTTACCAGATTGAGTGTCTCATTCTAATTGAACACTCCATCAAGGGGTGGGAGGGAGGAGGAAAATCAGCAGAGAAGACCAGTGCCATCATCCAGCAGAGTGTGGAGTCTGGTGGCAGACATAAACCAGAAGTAAGGAGTGAGGAAAACATCTGTGCTCCAAGCTGCCCCGCTGTCTGTCTCAGCTGAAAGAAGTCAGCTTTGAGATAGGAAGGCTGCAAAAATGGAGATTGTAAGAAAATAAAGATCCGTATAGATTAATTGATCTGTCCTCGGCCTCTACTCATAACGTTGTTTCCTTTGCTCCTATTATCTTAACATTCTTACATTCCCTCATGCATTTTGCCTACAAATAAACTGTCACTACACTTTACAGTGAATCTTCTGAAGTGCTTGGAGACATTTGGATGACACGATACATCAAATGCAAAGATTATATTACTTTTATTATTTTTACTTTAATATTAGACTTGTACTATTGCCTGTAATTCTCACTCTCCAACCCACCCGCCGCCATGATAATTATTTGTCCAGATTTTTCCCCTAAAGTTAACCAAATTGTTATTTTTTAGTATCTTATTTGAGCAGAATGGTTATATTACATGTTATATCTTCCCTTTCAAATCTTACTGCTCTCTTTGATTGCTGTATGCCTTGTCTCGGGGACAAATATTGTGTATATGAATAGTCTGTATAATACTGCCCATTCAATCTATTTTGGTCCCAAAAGTACCTGAACTCTATAGCAGTTCTTAAAGTTCAACCAAATCCTCAACATGTTTCTATCTCTATGTGCTTTAAATATGGAGAACTGAGTTCAACATGTAGTATTAAAGTCTGATGTTATTTCCCTTGACTTTATATTTATTCCTCCCAACATATCGCAATATATATATATATATATATTTGCTTTATTAATTGCTAAAGAATGCCGCACAGGTTATTTTAAGGATCAGTTCAGATTACCACCAATCCTTCTGACAATTAGTTTTCGAGTGAAGTTTAGCCCTCTACTCTTTCTATTTTGTCAGTTTATTATGCAGCTCCGGTAATGCAGTGATTCAGAGTATAAACCTAATTAATCCTTATTCATATTCTTGTTAGGTAGATGTAATTTGGATGCCAGTAGGATATAATTTTTTAACAATCATGTACTTTGTTTCCTCTCCCTAGTCCTATGGGCATTAAGGTTAATCATGGTGATCCCACCTCTGATCCTTCTGAGATCAATTATGACAGCACAGAACAGGGATCAAATCTGGATCCTTCCTGGTCTGTAGGACTCCATCCCCACCCCAGAGGGTGAATTTACTCATTGAGACACCAGTGGAGCCCAGCAATGTGTATTTCCATTTCCGTTTTTTTTCCTATCTTAATCCACGTGAACATTGCTTGTATCATATTAACTTTAGTACAAGAGTTTGAATATTGTAATGCTGGAGATCAAAACACAAAGGAATATATCCTCCCGAAGTAAAGTGAATGTTTCAATGTCCTCTTACTACTGGAAATCCCATTATAAGTGCGCATCAGAAGATTTGCCATATTTAGTAACTGGAACAGAATTACCCCTAAAGAGCTTTAAATATTAGAGATGAATTCTATTAGCATAAGAGTTATGCTATCGTGTCTCCTTTCTTCCCAGGGATTGCCATAAGACCAATAGCTTTGCGAGCGGTATCCGCTATTGGAAAAGCACTGCCAGGATTCCCAGTCTTAGCTGCTGGAGGAATTGATTCAGCTGAAGCAGGCCTACAGTTTCTGAACTGTGGTGCCTCTGTGCTACAGGTAAATGTTGCTTAGCCACTGGATAGACACGAAGCACTTACAGTGTGATTGCTACTGCGTTTTCAGGTAGTCTAGTAGATGCATTGTCATGCTTTCAAGTTTCAGCATTAAATCGCTGTGAAATAGCCCTAAACGCAGCAAATGTAAGGGACAATTCAGTTTTTTTATACAGCAGGTTTCAGCTCATCCAAGTTGATGGTGGCCAGAGAGATTTCACTAAACGGTTTATTCTTCACAGTTTTAGCAAATACTGTAATACAAACCGTTTGCTTACTGTTTTTTTTGGTTTCTTACCTTTTTAATCCACAAATTGTGTGTTTAACAACCAACAATAAATATATAAAAATTAGTCATTTGAATTTTTTTTGCATTTCAAAATAATTTTTTTACCCTTAATCATGATTTAAACTTCCTTTTTAAGATCTGTTGCAAAAGTATTATTAGAGCAATTATTCTAAAGATTTGATTGTGTATGGAATTATCATGTACAGACGCATTTTAATTGGAACATTCATACCCATGGACTCACACTCGCACTGCTTGATTGGAGCTGGATTGACAGTGACTGAAAATATTATGACTCATTTCATCCTTCCCCCTCTGATATTGCCTGAAGCAGAATGCAGGCCAGTAGATATCAATAGCAGATATCAATGAGTGGCGGAAAAGCAGAATAAACAAAACAAAAGTAACCAAACAAATTTTACTTTCATTAATTCCATATAATTGCAATCATTTGATTTGTGAGAATTTTGAGTATTTATTTATATTTTACGTGGGGACAAAATACCATGTGTTCACAGCACAATTTATGCTTTCTAACTTTTCAAGTCATTCTTCTGGAGTTCAAGATGCTCCTCTCTGAAGCTGTATTGCATCCTCCAGACTTTCTGCATTTTTAATTGACTTGTTTTATTTATGTGTAGCTAACATTTTTGTCCTGTTCATAGACCTAAAATGCCGTTAGTTAGCCAGAATGGATTGTACCGGGTGACCAAAATGTCGTGATACCATTAAAATGTCTCAAGTCTTAAAGAAACTATGAAGTTTTTTTTAGATAATAGGGTATCACGACTTTTTGTTGTTGTCACCCTGTAGTTGATTTTGTGGCATGCTCTTAACTTGGATATTATGGTATGATGTGCATAATAATAACTAACTTCCAAATGAACTTCACTTCAAACCAGTTATCACAAACACACTGTTTATTGGTTTACACTTTTTGCCCCAAACTGCACATAATGTGGAACATTATGAAATGGTGAATTTTGTAAAACACGTCTCACATTCAGAGTAAACTTTTACATTGTTTTTATAAATTTTCAGCTTAGTGTGTTAATGCTGCTGTATTCCTCAAAGGGTTAAATGAGTCTAATTGCTTCTTTTCCGTACACTGCATCTTCAGGATATTGTACAGTGCAATCTTTCTGCAGTGCCATATACATTAGTTTACCTTTTTTAGTTAAAGCCTAACAACAGTCTAATTACAGGCATCAGAATCGGGATTACCCCTTAACAGAAAGAGACACCATATCCCACTTGTGTGCATCTGTCCAAACAGGGCAAAACCTTGGGCAACTTTCCTTACTCCACATGCCTAATAATAATCCCTCCAAAAAAAAAAACAATAATAAATTGGTCATTTTCAATTCATGACTGTTTGTGGGACATTGCTGTGCACAATTGGCTGCCGTGTTCGCCCACAAATATACAGTCAATTCACTTTACAGTATATTCTATGAAGCACTTTGGGACGTCTAGAAGACATGAAAAACGCTATATCAAATGCAAAGATTATTATTATTATTTCATGAAATATCATATATTCAATGTGACTATTTATAATCTCAATCAATGTATTTCATAATACGTCCTGAGTTATCAAAAATATGCACGAAGCATTTTTGGACTGACGCAGTTCAGGATGAAGCTGAGCAGGAAAAGTATTTGAAGGATAATGAGCTTCCATTAAATGTGCTACACTTGTTTTTTTTTTGCAAAGTTCTGTTCACAAAATCGATGTGTAGATCCCACCTTTGAAGTTTTGCTGATGTCCTAAAGGGTTTGATTTTAATCAGCTCTAAATTTGCATAGCCATGAACGAGATACCTGAACTTGAGCCAGTTAAATCAAGAGGTCCTGCACCTCTGTTGCACATCTGTCACGATTGTGACTGTAAACCCAGCAAGCCATCTGGGATGGATACCTACAGCTGTTGTGATGGCTGCGGTGTAGTGCAATTATCAGGACAACTAGGGCACTGTAGGAGTCCATTGTATTTGCTATAACTCAGCGTTCTTTTTACGCTTGCGATATTTGAGACTGTTATTTTTAGAATGATCACAAAATTACAAATTAAAGTAGAAATATCTATCGTAGACTTGATAGGGATGCATGTAAGTAGCAAGCGTTCGAGCAGTGACAAGCTGTTATAAAACTGAAGTAGTCAGCCTATACATATTCCCGAAGTATAATGGATGATGACATGGCAGTTTGTCAAACAGAAATATGTTTTCATGTGTGATGTTGTAAGCAATGTTTATCAAGCCAATTTAGGATGTCATGTCAAAGGATTAGATTTGCAAGTGACATATAGATTTGAAACGTTACAGCAACTACATTATTTGAACAAGCTGAAGCTCGAGTCCATCTGTAGAATTATCAGGTAAAACTAATGATGGTGAAGACCCTTTCGTTCTTTTTTTCTTTCTTTTTTTCTTTCTTTCTTTCTTTCTTTCTTTCTTGACAAATAAATAATGCACCTTAGAATAAACCCGACATAAAACACCACCTCTACAGCTCTGCTACATTTGTCACACAATACAAGACAGCCTTCTTTGCTGCACAGTTCATTTCAAACAGGTCTGGTGCAATATTAGTTATTATAAATAGTATATTTTTGCAGGTATGCAGTGCTATTCAAAATCAGGACTTCACCTTAATTGATGACTACTGCACAGGGCTGAAGGCATTGCTTTACCTGAAAAGTATTGAGGAATTGCAAGACTGGGAAGGACAGAGCCCTCCAACAATGTGTCACCAGAAAGGAAAACCTGTTGCTGAACTCGATGATATTGTCGGGAAAGTATGTTTTTTTTTAATACACTAGGCATAAGGATGGTTGTGAGTGAACTTGGTTTAGATCAGTTGGCCTGGGATGGAGTGAAAGACCAGCCTGGGGTCTCTCCATCTGTTGGGCTGAAATTCTAGTTGGAGTTAATGCGTACAGCCTTTAGCGATGTCGAATGCTAAGGGGATTTTCCCCATTTCCACATTGCCAAATGCGCAATGCATAACTTTGACTGGAATTTCACCTCATTTATCAGAACATGGTTCAAGTGCACAGGTCTCAATTAAGAAAGCTGTGCCAACCAGCTGACTCCAACAACCTGTCGGAAATATGCAGACAATTGTACCGGCTCACAACAGGGTGTTGCCGAAACATAATGTCTTAATATTGTCGTGCCACTAGTTAATTCAAACTACAACACACAAGATTCAACCACTGAATAAAATGTACTTAACAACAGCCCTTGATTTCAGCTTTAAAAGTCATAAAAAGTGTAAATTTCTAAGTTTGTGAAATGCATATATTAAATTGAATCTAAATAATTGTTGGTAGTTACAAAGCAGTTAGGGGGTCAGCTATGTGACACAAACAGCAAGAACACATTTTTTTCTAGCTTCCAACCATATTCTGAGAGGCTGATATTCCTGACCACACTCACAAACAGTTTTTATTTTTGAAGACTATCAACTTTTTGACTGTTTTGAGTGTTTTCCTGTTGGAGCTTTGCTCTCTAACCTTCCAAGATCATCACTCTCTGAATCCATCATGACATGAAAAACAAGAGGAGAGGTTTATCTGAAGATTAAAAATCTGTTTGACAGAGAGAGAGTTTCCTCGTTACATTGGAACTAGTTTCACAATGACCTTCAACCTATATACTGGTAGGATGTGAAGAGCTTTCACTCAATAACAATGCGACTTAACCCAAACCTTAGGGAAGCATTCTCATTGTTCCAGTGTCAATCTTCTATTTCCCATGCCAGCCTTTCTTTTGGTCTCTCTGAGTGAGAATGTCAAATAACACTAATTTTGCCCACTAGGAACTGCGTTGATGCTGTCCAAATTCATTTTATTGAAGACCTTGAAAGTGAACATACCAGAGAGTTTAATCCCATCACTCTGAAGTGGATTCCAACAGAGGCTCCAGGGTTCACATACAGCTTCATTATTTTTTACTGAACTTTCCTGTTCCTTGGGTTTAACTGTCAGTAAAGTTAGTAAGATGTAGTAGTAAGATATGAATTTTATTAGTTAGAAGCATATTGATATATTAATGGCTGTGCTTATTTTCTCTTCCTGATTCAATACTGTCTTGTATGGTTGAAGCTGCCTTTAAACTTTCATAGGGACTGATGTGGGAGGGGGGTTGAAGAGTCCAGATTTATTAATCTTATTGACAGTTATGACTTCTTTCAGGAGATGTGCCTCAGTTTGGAAGGCTTTTTGGCAAGACCGCAGAGCTCAGCACAAAGTTCTCTCACCTCCATTTCACATCCTCTTACAAACACATACCTGAACTTGCTATAAAATTAGTAATTGCATCAAAGAAAGGTGGATTGATGGTGACAGATCTTAGTGTCTAAACCTTTTTCCTCAGCTTCAGCAACAATCAATCACTAACCTATTAGCTGCGTAAGTAGCCTGCAGTTTTTTTTATAAACTTTGACAATATTATATCTGAACTTCAATAGTATTATTTCTATACAATGGACCATTATAGTTTAGTGTTGGGTGCCAGCCCAAAATTGCATTTGTAACTGAAGATAAGATTTTGTAATGTCTACATTTCACTATAAAATGTGGCTGTAATAAATGCCAGTATAGGAAATGATGCTGGCATCTAAATGCATGTAATTCTCAAATATATAATAATATTTCACAAAAATGGAATGAGATAATTTCACAAAAGAGCTATTCCATTTTTTGAGATATTAGACATTGCTCATTTTGTATTCCAAGTGCAATCTATTACCAAACCGTAGACATTTTATGTACTGTCCTCAGTAAAATAATTGTACCCAAGCCTACATCTTGGGAGATGTACTCTTCCGCAAACTCAGAATATTATAGATTTTCCTCACTTATATATGCCTGTTAGTGTCCGATAATAGGAGTTCATGGGAAAGGTGCTTACCTGGCATAACCTCTATTCATCCAAGGATTGTGTTTTCCTGCACTAGTCATCTCACAAGTTGACTGATGAGATTTAGGCTCAGATCTGAGATCACCTATAAAAATAATTTGGTCACTCAATCCGCAACTGTTTGTGGGACACTGTTGTACGCAATTTGGCTGCCACGTTTCGTCACAAAATGTACAGACAATTCACTTTACAGTATGTGCTGTGAAGCGCTTTGAGGCATCTCGAATGCAAGGACTAGTTATTATTTTATTATCTCAGAGGCAGGGACCCACAATTCAAATAGAGAAAACACAGTTTACTTCACATGTGCTTTTAACAATCGTTACATAGGCCAAGAACTTTTTCAACCTCCCATTCTCTATTAAAAGTTAAAGTTAGGGAAAATAAAGAAGTAAAAAAAAAGTCATCTGCACAGCTGTAAATCTGTGTCGTTTTGACATAAATTTTTGACAATTGGCTAGTGATAATAAATCAAACGATGTATTTGATTGTTCAATTTGCTTGCATTTCTCAAGATTATTTATAACATCCAAATTCCATTTGGCTCCTTTGTGTTACATAATTTAAGAAAAAAGATGTAAAGTGCCTCAGAAATTCATCATGCTTGGCAAAATATATTTTTTTTTAATGCAGATTAGCTCAGAAATTGAAACGTTTCCCAATTTACAGGATAAAATTACAGTAGATGCAGTACTGGTACAAGGATGATAACTGCTGTAGCTCATTTCTGGAACCCTCAGGACCCATCTTTATTATACTGTATACAATGAGGAATATATTAAGGATGGTTATTCCTTCCAGAAACTGCACATAAGAATAGCATTAGCTCAGATGTGTAGTCAACACCCCGTCTTGCCTAGTTCTTTCAGGAACCTTTCATTAGCAGCTCACTAATGTTACTCCAGAGATTTGACACAATTATGTTTCAGAATCATTCTTCTGGCAGATGTTTGAAGTATCACAATTGTGTGTTTCAACTAAACGCTTCTGCTAATATAACAGGTGAGGGCTTAGAAGAAACAAACATCGTGGGCACTAATGGTCAGACAAGACACAGTGGTTTCTCTCAAGGAATCTCATCACCTGAAAACATCAATGGTGGTTTGAAGTTGCCGCCAATAATAAACAATTTAAAAATAACACTTCTAACAAGATCACAAGATTGGTTTGGATAAAGAAGGTCATTCGGCCCATCCTATCTCATTCTTCCAGAACCCCAGTCCCTACCATCACAGCCACTTTGAACACAAAGAAATTCCGTGGCAAGAAGCCGCTAGTATTTAAATGTGATTGGATCTGCTTCACACAAGGGACGAAGGACATTGATTCTGGATTCATAGATTGGAGAACGTGATTTGCAACTGCCATTTCTGATCCATTCAGTCTCAAGTAGGATACATTGTGGAGTCCTGTAGCTCCGTGGTTAGAGCACTCGCTTTGCAAGTGAGAGACCTGAGTTCAATTCCAGGCAGAGGGCGAAACCTTGGGCAAGTTTCCTTACTCCACACGCCTAATAATAATCCCTCCAAAACCAAAAACAATAATAAATTGGTCATTTTCAATCTACAACTGTTTGTGGGACATTGCTGTGTGCAATTGGCTGCCGCGTTCGCCCACAAATATACAGTCAATTCACTTTACAGTGTGTTCTGTGAAGCGCTTTGGGACATCCTCCCGACGTGAAAAGCACTATATCAAATGCAAGGATTATTATACAAGTATCATCCTTGGTGTTTGTAGATTATGGAATCAGACTCGAAACTTTTGGTGTTGTGACTGTAATCATTTTATTCCAAAATTTGCATATGAAATGCAGGAGCTAATTTTCGAAACCTTTGCATCTTTTTGCAAGGCCATTTAATGAGGCCTGCTTTAAGTTATCCGCATTTAACTTCAGAATGACTTTGAGCACATGGAGATTGCAAACTTCCAATTTTTGTATCATCAGCAGTCAAGAAGATTTGCTATTACCAGTACCTTGTAACCCTGAAACCCATAAATAGCAAGCCAGTGCTGGTGTTAGCTCACCCATTAGCGCTAACTATTTCTCTCTCAATTCCTGCTCATTTCCAGACCACTCTTTTTAATCCTTTTAAAATGCTTACTACCTTTCTGAATGTCTCAATCTCAATAGCTGTCTACTCTATTAAGATTGAGACATTTAGAACTAGCAGGATAGTTAACTATTTGGGTATTACAACCAAACTCAATCCTACCCTCACCTAACAAACACTTCAAAGAGGTCACAGACTAATGAAGAAGAATTGTGGCCTACTTTTCCCCTCTATAAAATGGTCTGCTTGTTAAAACACATTGTAAACACTCCCATCGCCATCTCCTTCCTCAGTGAGACAGACAAAGTCAGCAAAAAACCAAGACTTTTTGTCTGTAAGGGTCAGGGTCAGAATACAAATATTATTCAACTAAAAAACCATTAGAATCCTGCAGTCCAAAGTCTAGTTTTCTCTGGTGGAAGTTTTATAATGTGCCAAGAACATGTTCGTTTATCATTTCTTGTCTGGATTCCACTCTTCGTCTGCTTTGTTGCTGATCCCGTGTGTGATCCAGTGATTTTCCTGATTATATTTACTGTTTAATGATTGCTCAAATTACCATTCAATTGCACTCCACCTCACTTTCCAATGGACGTGCCACATTATCGAGAAAAGCGAGCACTAAGTACAATAAGTAGACTGAAAATAGCGTGATGATACATTTTTATAACCAATTGCAATAAGATTCTGCACTGTACTTGCACTGATACTTTTTTTTAGAGAGGATTTCAAATGTATACAGTGACTACAGTGGCTTTTAGTTGGCAGATCCTATTGCCCTCTCCAGAAACAACTTGACAGATTTCAGAATTTGGCAA